TTGAACATTTATTGAAATAATAAAGTCGTCTATATCTTGTGATGAAAGACATATATGGGTGTACCGGGTGTTGCACGTATATACTTATCTGAACGACGGGTTGCCTTGTCAGCAGGCGCGCGTACCGTGTCATAATAGACCTTAGCGAAATTATCACGCGCGCTTTCTTTCCTATAAAGTTTACTGCGTTCTCTTCAAGCTATCATGATCGCGACGGACTTATGATCGGATTATTAATCGATTATGATTAATCGATTATGATAATAACAATACAGATGTAAAAATGGACGATTATTGAATGCTACAAATGAAACAACATTCCGATATATACCATATGTGCAACAGTCCTGTGCAATAATTTAATAATTTAATTATCTCGCAGACTCAGGATGTTTTAAGACTGTTATTTTGATTTTTCATTCGTCGTCATCAATTTAATTACGATTATTAGTTTACATTGCGTTTCTGATCCACTCGATTTTTTGAAGAAGCTGACTTTTTGAAGAAGCTGATTCCAAAGTGGAATTGGATACGAGCGATAGGTGAGCATGAGATTAAAGACTCTTCTTTTTCATTTTTTCAAAAATCTGAATTTCACCGAAATTTTAAATGCCAATAAAAATATTAATGATAAAGAGCTTGTGATAGAAGAAAGTTTGTTGTTCTATTTTCCGGCCCCTTCATTAATTGAAATTATTTCAATTATATATATATATATATATATATATATATATACAAGGTGTTTTTTTTAACTTGAAACTGCTAAATATCTCGAAAAATAAGCATTGTACAATCGTTAATTTTTGTCCGTTGGGATAAAAATGTCCCAAATAAACCTTCAATAGTTTCGAGGGCGCAATTCAATCCCACAAAAATTATCTACCTCCCACCCCCCCTGGGGATGGGGCGGGGGGTAACTTTGAAATCTTAAATGAGAACCCCTACTTTTTATTACAGATTCGGATTCTACATCCAAAAACACATAACTTTTGTCTGAACTTTTTTTGTCTATTTCTGATAGATGGCGCTGCATTTGGCGAAAATTGGGTAATC